GGGGTACTATTGTAGGTGTTATTTTTTTTTTTAATATGAAATGTGTGTACTAGGTTAAACAATATGGTTGGGTAAAAACAGTAAATTATAAGTAGATCGGGTTCGTGTTTTGTGTTAGAAGCATTGAATTGTTGAACCGGTGGTTCGGTTCAAACGGGCCTCGATCGATGGTTTGGATAAAGGACGGAGATCGCATAATGAATCAAATATGTTATCATGTCACCTCGGAGAGATTTATCTTCCTAGTAGTGCAAACGACCTCAACCGGTTCGAACGACCTTGGACCGCTCTCGACCTAGTTCAAAGTCCTGCAAAACAGCGCCAAGAGTTGTCCCGACATAGAAACTCTGACGCTTAAGTCAGTGAGCAGTGAAAAAAATGAACAATATGCGTGGATTGTATATAGCTTGTAAGTATATTAGAATGTGTAGAGTATAAGTGATTATACAGGAGTATTAATTACCTTGTTGTCAAAGACTGTCCGACTGGACTATTCGAATGCTCGAGCTACGCGTTCGTTTTGCCGGGATGTTCAAACTGTCCAATTTTGTTAGGCAATGCAGTCATACCCACATGTTCTTCTTATCTTAATTATATTCTTTCTTATCTCTTATGTGGTATGTTCAAATTAGTCTACCTGAATAGGTGGTCTAAATGTGTTACCGGCTCGAATTCCCCTGAAACAAGTTGCTCTGACCTTCTTCGACTAGGTCTATCCACTACAAGAAAATACTTCAATTCCAATGAAAAATTTCAACGGCAAAAATTTCCGTTGGAAATTCCAATGAATATTCCAACAAACTTAATTTTATGTTGGAATAAGTGTTGGATGGTTGAGAATTCCAATGGATTTTTTCCGTTTGAATAGCTGCAGGAATTTATTTCAATAGGATTTTTTGTTGGATTTTAGCTATTCCAACGGCCTTTTTCCCACGAATTTTTATACGTAGGAATATTGTTTGTAGTATTTTTGGGCATATGGTAACCGAGCTACCCGACTCGGGTCATTCTCAAAGGCCTCTTCGGAGCTTCGTTCACTACCTAGTCGTCAAAATCACATAACCGAAAAGGTCCTAAACATGCTACTCGCTTGGTGTGGAGATTGAATTAAACTAATGGCAACTAATCATCAAAAGCATATGAAATTAAGCAAGAGAAGAGCTTTACCGGAGTCTCTATCATACGAACAACCCTAAACAACCGAAAGACATCATTCTTGCTAAACCCTAGGCAATCAAACACAAGCTTTCTTAACCGAAGTGATTGATGTCTCAAACCTGAACACAAGATAAGCATGCATTATATCCCTACAAGCACTTAGTCAAGCCACACGATGTAAAGTTTCGATCTTTTCCTACAAACACTAGCAATCTATCAATTTCACTTTGAAAATAATCAACAGCACAAAAGAGTAAATCGAAGTAATGGGGCTTTAAAGCTAAGTACCCACTCCCCTATGCACGTGTGAAGAAAACCGGAGTGAAAAGCTTTAATCTTTACTCGAAATAATGTCGCCGGAAGTTCGCCGGAAAATTCGAACAATAAAGCTCCAAACAAAAGCATAAAAAAATAAAAGAGAGAAAATTGAGAGGATTTCCTAACTTAAAAGTTGAGAAATGAGGGTTGTATCCCAAAAATACAAAGCAAAATGTCTACTTATAACTACACCATAAACACACACTAAAACACACACATTTAATAAGGAAAACTCGCAGGATAGTGGGAACTCGCGGGTTGAGGCCGGAATTTCGCGGGCTGGAGGAAACTCGCGAGTGTTGGGCTTGGACGCTGGGAACTCGCGGCCTAGGAGCAACTCGCGCGCGCGGGGTGGTGGATTCGCGGGCACAGGGTGCACGGCGCGGACACTCGCGGGATAACGATGATTCGCAGGCACTGGCTGGCATTTCGCGGGCGCGAGGGCTCGAGAACTCGCGGGGTAGCACGCGCTGGGAGAAACTCGCGGGGTGGCTTATTTTCGCGTGCGCGAGCTCCAAAACTCGCGGGCAGCAGGCGTGACAGCTCACAGGGACTCGCGGGATGGTGCTGTTTCGCGGGCGCGAACTGCAATTCGCGGGCAGGAGTTGGAATGGTCCCGTGACCCTTTAAGACTCGGTTCGATCTAATTTCTCGCACGCTTATCCGATTGACTTGAAACTTTGACCCACGCTTCCCAAATATCGTTCTCCTCTTCTTGAAATGCGCAAACCTATATCACCACGCAATTAATAATATGCTCGGAACGACTCAGAAATGACCCATGTGGCTCGAACATGGTTCGGACGACTTGAAAATGTCTCGGAAATGGCGTCTTCCCAAGGTAGAATAATGTGGACCTAAACAACACCAAAAAGACAAGAAAAGTACGCCAAACCACAAAAACACAATATGATAATAAAAATGCACGAAACACGATAAAATGGACCGGTCGACACTCAAACGAACCTAAAAATGCTAAACAAACAAATAAAACACACGAAAATAAGCACAAAACACAATAAACAACTCCCTCACACTGAACTCTTTGCTTGTCCTCAAGCAAACAAAATAACAAGTAGCTCGAAAAGAAAAATTGAGAAGTCCAAAATTAACGAGCATGCAAAATGAAACTCTCATTTTCATCCGGATATCCATAAAACCAAAATCCAATCCGAAAACACGATTCCCACAAGTGAATCCATACGAAACAAAAACTCGTCCCAAGTCATTCTACACATGATAACTCAAGACTCACTCTCTCGTCTACATACACGTGCAAAAACTATGAATGGTCTACTAAACATATAAACGTGATAAACATGAACCAATAAGCCACCTCTCATTCTTTTTCTTTTCTTTTTCTTTTTTTTTTCTCTTCTTTTTTTTTTATTTAATGAGCTACTTTTTCCAAATGAGAGTCGTTAGGACGATTATTTCCTGGGTTTAACCTCGGGGTTTGTCCCCGAGTCTCCTAGGCCGGTTTCCCGTACTCATTATCCCAATCCACGAAGTGACTCGAAATAAGAGGAGCCTAATCCGTACTTCCTCGCGAACTCACATTTTATTCTTTTTCTTTTTTTTTTCTTTTTTTTTTTAAGGGAGTGGCACACAAGGATACATCACAATTACAATAAAATGATCATCACAAATCAAACAAAACGTACCACAAGTGCATAGACAACACGTTTACAATGATAATTGAACATAAGGAAAACATGCCTCAAGACAATCAATCGAGAACAAATAAGGGACAAAATAATTCCGTGAATCCACATGCGTGTTCCAATGTCAACAAATCGTCATTTAAATTACAAGAAACCGTCCAAGTCATCATGTACATAAAACATGAACGTTAATAGTGAAACCAATCAATAATCTCGACTCACCACTTAGCTATCTCGACTCTCGAACAAACATTGAGCATCATGCGGGAGAGGCGGCACAAACACACAAAAACTAGACAAAACTGGTCCAAGACACGACAAAAACGAAAAATAAAGCACCAAAAATGAAACAAATATCACCCAACATGCATAATCACGAAAATCCCTCACCCACTCTTAAAACAAAGCAATGTCCTCATTGCTTGACCAAAAAGCATAGAGAAAAACACATAATCATGTAAGTTCGTGCGATGAAAATGAAAAATTAAACACGAGAAACAAAAAAACTAAAAGAAAATAAACATGGAGACACAAAAGAGCAAAGAAAGAAAGAGAAAATAAGAAAAGAAAATGCGTACTCTACACGGTGGGGCACCACCGTGTGTCTAATGGTGTTAGTCCGGTGGGAATACGAGAAATAATCCGAATGTCCTCGAGTGCAAAATAAAGCCATCCGAACGAGTGAACAATAAAAGCATATCGATCCATAAGCTAACCGAGCACTGTGGCATTTGAAAGCATAAGAGAATCCCGTCCTTAGGCACTGAGTAATGGCCACATGTATGCGTCTCGGAAGGATAAAAACCGGGAATCCACAAACTCGACGAAGACACTCGTAAGCTTGAAAGATCAAAATTCGGGCCTCTAGCCCCATAATGATATTCGCCATGGCATGACCCGATCAACTTTTCAATCAATACGTAACCTCAAGCACAACCGAGCACCAATGATATAGTGAAATTCAAATCAAACGCCAAAGTGCACTGCATTTCCCCTAAAACAATCAACAATAACTCCAAACGAGCCTTACACCGAAAGACACTAGCCAAAATCCTCCAAATGATCAATACATACTCACGAGCCCCCGATACACCTCCCCCACACTTAGTATATATCACCTCCAACTCAATAAAGTCACGCCCAATTCAAATACATATGGCACGAGTAGGTCTAAGTAAGTTACCTCGTAAAACGATGATCTCGATGCCAAGAGTAAGAAAAATCGAGCAATGCGTCGTGTCCAAGCTCAAAGAGAGTGAAAAATCCAAGGGAAACGGGTGAAGGAGATAGAATCGCCGCCAAATAAGGTTTCAGGTGGCTCCAACGACTCAAAACTGTCCCGAGAGGTCGAAAATGTCGTTTCCGGCGGCCGAAAAACGAGGCTCGGAAGGTTCGCCGGAAAATTTGGTCGGAAAAGTCGCCGGTCGCCGGAAAATGTCGCCGGCGGTCGCCGGGTGCGCCGGGGCTCGATGGTTTGCCCCGTGTCTCGGTGGTGGCTCATGGTGGTGCACTAAGGCTCGAGTGCGGTGCATGGGTGTGGGCGCGGCTCGGTGGTGGCATGGTGCGGGTGTGCTGGCACGGACGGGCGCAGGGCTGCTGGGCATGCTGGGGCGCGCGCGCATGCGGGGCGTGTGATGACAGATCAGATTTCT